TCAGTATGCTCCATTTATTGACATTATGTGGAGCCAGATTTTCCTCATGTTGATTTGTCTGATTGATTTGTGCCATGCGCGTCTGAGCAGCTAAATGAAAATCAAAAAGGCTTTTTAAGTGTTTTTGTTGTTCTAGCTCATCACGACAAGCATCTTCAAGAGACTGTACAACACTAGGAAAAAGCTATGCACACGCCTGGATCGCACTGTCATTGGCAAGTTTGTTCCCAAGTTGCGCATATTGCTGCAGTAGTGGCCCCTCTGTTTGGTGTTCAGCATGAGCCCTGACTTTATGGAAAACCCTAGTCCCCATATTCCAAACCTTCCACAACCTGATCATCAGATCAAAGTGGGGTGCCATGGCAAAGTCAGTTACCTCCGTAGCGTCAGCAATCAATTGCAGTTGGCTAAGTGTCGCGGCCGAATCTGTGTGTATGGTCGTATTGCAGTACCTTTCCATCACAGTCACTATTGCAAACAACTCTGCGCGATGGATGTCCTGCAGACCTGAAAACCGCCCCGCTGCTAACGTACGCAAGCTGGTGGGAAGCAAACCTGTTTGATGATATCTAAGTGCATGTTGGCATCTTTCTTCATCTGATTCGGCACAGTCCATGACTACTGAAAAGGCGGCGTATCTAAACTCGGGCAATGTCGGGTGATAACATGATCCATCAGTGAAAAAGACAAGTGACCTACCAGTATGATCAATGGCTTGGATACGTGAGTGCATCTCTTGCTCAATGTCAGGCTCAGCATTATACCATTGAACGGTCAAATGGCATTCCCTGTAAGGATGGCAAAAAACAACCGGCAGTTGCCCCATGGCGGAACCAGATTCCTCAATCCATTGAAATGCTTCAGCATATTTCTCCCTAAGGTCATGCAATGCCATGCATGAAAGTGCTCTGTGCTCCCTCGTGTCAAGTTCCCCACAGTGAGGACAGTGTGGGTCAATTTGGGAGTCCCATGTTGCCTGTTGGGCTCTCGTTTGGAAAGCACCTGCAATTTCATTCAAGAGTTTAACCTGTTGGGCAGAATTATACTTACGCAAAACTTGGATTGTGGAAAGTCTACAGATGGGTGGGAGTCCTTTCAACCCTTTTCTGTCGGTGAGTGTCATGATGTGCTCTTGCCATTGGAGATTGCATAGCTTCAGCAAGGTGGGAAGCCCCATGTCCAAGAAGGGGAATGATACAAAACCATTAATGGACAATTGTCCCTGCTTCCCCAACTGCCACCCCAGTTTGCAGAGATGATACTTCAAGACACCCGCAGGGCCTTTGCATTCATGGGCCGCTCCACTGTGTTTGGAAACCATCATGAAAAACCGTGTTCTCTGCGTGGCAGTTGCACGGAGTAAAAACCTACGGGCTGCTGTAATAACTCTCTGCTGTAAAACAACCTGTGGGTCTTGGACTGCCGGCGTGCAGTGTATGGCAATAGCGGAATTACGGCTGATACTATGTCCATAGAGTGCACTTGCTACTTCCGTACGCAGTGTGTCCATGTGCTGTGTACCAACAGGCACCAGTTCCATCCCATATAAGGCTACAGGGTATATGCCTGCGGTGATCACTCTGGCTTTGGATGGCAAAGGTTCTTTGTGCGTTCCAAGGCGTTGTAGTCTTATCCTGGCTTTGTGCAATCTGTCTCTCAACTTTCCCAACCTTGCATTCCCCCTATATGTGAGTTGTGCTCCTAAATCCATGGCACTGAGCATCTCTGGCACATGCTCGTTAGGTGCTTCTTTTTTGACAACCCTTTTGAGAGAGGGAAGGTGGGCCTTGTGTGTGCTCCAAAGCCATGATTTCTTCCAGTCAATGATCATGTTCAAATAGTCTGCCATCGTTTTTGTGGCCTGTAAGGCAGGCGCATGCTGTGAAACCTCTGTAGTGCTCCAGCCCCAATTATCCGCAAATGCCGATGGTGAGAGATTCCTGGTTTGCCGCTGGACATGGTGGATCCACGCATAGGCAATGGTGAGCATGGCTATTACACTCATTGGGTCCCCTTCCGGCAGGCCATTGTTTGTACTGCAGGGGCTACTGGATAACCCTTGTACCGTCCAAGTTCTAGTAAGATGGTTGAGTGACTGCAACCACACTTGAATGACATATTCAGGTATACCCACCCCTCTCATGATCATGGCTGAACTTTGTCTACTGATGGTATTGAAGCATCGTTTGAGATCAAGCGCAAAACCGGATTGGCATGTCTGTGTGGCATGTGCCCATTCCAACATGAACTGCTGGTGGTAGGTGGCATCAGCCGGTCCTCTTCCTGGCAAAAACCCTGTGACTTCTGCTGGCATTTTCAGGCTTAACTTTCGTAGCAAAATTCTGGTTACTGCCTTACTCCAAAGACGGTAACACTGGGCTAAAACAGTTATGGGCCTATATTCATGGACATGAGGTTGGTCTACTTTTGGCACTGAGGTAGTTTTTGCTATCATCATCCATGAAGGAAAACACTGCAAGTTGATCAAGATTTCTCGGAGGTGGTCGATGGCTTGGCAAGGAAGGCTTTGTAGTTCTGCAGCACTGATTCCATCAATGCCTTTGGCGCTTTTTGCATTCAGCATTTTGACTGCCTGGTACCATTCCTTAGGATCCGCAAAATCCATGGGCTGGTCCTGAAGAATGCACGGCAGGTTACAAAGCATATCTCGGAACGACCTTGGCGGCTGAAGTCTGTCGGGGTCTACTGTCCAGTATTGGTTCCAGTATTCCTGTAGGTTTTGCATGATTTCACAAGGGTGTGTTGTGACCACAGTTTGATGTATATCACATTGTTCAGAATCAGGTATTTGTCCATGTACACGCAGGGTGATGCTATGACAGTCCTTATCAATAAGGGTGGCAGTAGTTTCATGGATGTGTACAATGGCCTCTTGTCTGAACTGACTTGCATGTTGGCAGTATGCTATCATGTTTCCATCCTCCTGTGGGACCAAGATAGCCGTGTCAGAGACCTGGTGGCGAATTTCATAAACCCCAGACTGTGAGGGGTCGCGTATTCTTGCAAAGGCTCTGGCATTGCCTTGGCATTTATAGTCAAGCTGTTGTCGATAAGCCATCTTATCCTTCCAGCGCTGTCTGTCTACCCAGAGGCAGTGGTTAGTTTCATGTTTGGCAAACTGGATAATCAAGTCTAAAAGAGCGGGATTGGGCAATTTTACCGGGAGTGGACCTACCTCAGGTATTTTTTGAGCCCATTTTGGAAAACCCCCCTGAAAAGCTTTACATCTCAGTATAGAATGCCATAGTCCCCACGCCTGGGTGTGTTGTGCTTCCTGCCAATCCTCTTTACGGGAACAGCAAGGCTTGTAGTCTTCTGATTTGCTTCACTTTGGCTTGGGTATTATAAGTATGCACTTCGATGGCAGGTTGATAATCCCCTGGTCGACCCTTTTTGAAGTGTGACTTAACTGGATGGTTCACAAGTTGTGTGGGTTGGCAACGTCCCCTAAACTTCTTTGGCATACCCAAGGTGGCTGGCAATGGACATCCCTGATCTTTCACTTGAAACCATCTATAAGCCAAATCAGCCGATTGTTCAACTTGTTTACCCCAGGCTTCAAGATCAGGGGGAACTCCATTCTTCTGGGTTAGCATGTGATACGCATCGTGAAGGTCATTGTCTTTCATCGGCAATTTCAGGAAAGTGTCGGGCATGCGAAAACTTTGGACAAACGCATCATCTGCCTGCAATTGCAGAGTGAATGTTACCACTTTGTGCCAGTCAAAGTGTTCATCTGTCAGGACTTGGACTTCCGTTACCCAGCTTGACGCTTGAGGGCAGAGCAGTGCATTATCTGGGGTGGTAACACCTCTGCATGTGGGTGGCATTGGTGCGCCATGCAGGCGCTGGTGAAGTGCTCTTAAGTCCCAAAACCCCTGTTGTTTAAGGGAATTACCCGAGTTCCATTTGAAGGGATCCCCATTAAAGTCCCCTAGGATGATACAGGGCAACGGCAGCAAGGAGCTGGCTTGTATGGCTGCTGCCAGCAAGTCACTATTAAAGGAGGACGTTCCATTCTGCGTAGCTGGCAAGGCATACACAATTAGCAATTGGATGTCCATATGTCCCAGGGAAACAATGACATGTAAGATTCGTGAAGTGGCCTCTCATTCCGATGAGAGAGTGCCAAGTGCCATACGAATCCGCTGGCTAGACATGCATGCAACCCCTGCTGCTTTTCCCCTTTTTGAGGCAGTTCCATCTGTTTTTGGTCTATGGTCTTGGACCGGCACTGACCAAAGCATTTTCCTGAAGGCTGGCCGCATTGCTGTGGCAAAACCCTGCTGTGCAAGTTGTGTGGCTGAAGTCTCGGAGGCTGTGATCACATCAAGTCCATGTGTTACCTGCAGCTCCTTATATACCTGCGCCTTGGAGTATATACTAGTGGGGTTGGTAATGGCAAACTTAAAGGTCTCTGGCTTGGAGGGTCCGGGACTGGATGCCTCTCCCAATCTGTGTAATTGGAGATAGCTATGCCATGGCGGGGCCAAAATGGCCTGTTTTTTGCATTGGAGAACTGTACATACTGGATCGAAAAACGGATGCAAAGATTTTGTCTGTACATTTGGTGAATGACTTCTGGATGCAGGCCACTTATCTTCGTAATGACCATGGTAATTGCGGACCCCCAGGTCTGATCCGCCACCCCAAGTGCACGGTGCACATTCTTGAGAATGAGCATTTGACCATATCGCATGTCTAAGGGGTGGTTCGGATGCAAAATTTTGGCAAAAACTGTTGTCGATATCCATACACTGTTCAAAGTGACTTCGCACCTGGGACATGTCGTGTCGGATGAGAACGGCATTACATAAGCCTAAAAACAAAAACCACAAGACCAAAACTGTTGATAGCCCAGCAGGTTTATGGGCATCTTGGCAAAACTTGGCTTGATTGGCAAAAGGCTTCTTTGGATGACAAAACTGATTTGAATTACTTGCAGTGCCTCGAGTGGCTAGTCAATCTGTCATTGCTTCCTCATCAGGCGGCGCCGAACGCTTGTTGTTCATGAAGAGGGCTCTGATCTCTTGAAACTTTTCATCCATAGCTGCCTGATATTGGTGCATAGATCTGGTCATGGCGGTATCAAAGGATTGTTCAATCTGTTTGAGTGCAGAATCCATTTTGTTCATGTTATCCTGCTCCCTTTGTGCCGCCTGCTTGATGTGAGATTCCACATGTTTGGCATGTGTCTTTTGTGTCTGAGTGAGCTGCTCAATGCTGGCCTGCATGGTTGCGATCTTGGCATCTTGCTCTGACAGTCTTTTCTCTGTCGGGCCATGCTGTGGGGCATGGGCATTGGAGGAGGTTGGCATGGCAGCTTTTGCTGGTCCGTAGCTCGCCCAGGGGTCTTGACCTTGGTGCCATGGATCTCCATTCTGTTGTGGCTGTATCTTTGGTCTCGGACCCAACAAGATCTTGTCTGGCCCCTGTTGGTCTCTCGGTGGCAGAAGGCGTGCCAAAATTGGCGATGAGTTGAACATCAGAATCCCTGGAGGTATGTCATCAGCTGATCTAACAAGCCAGGTCTGTGGGCCCAGGGCCCTGATTGGGCATGCATCCCATTGCATTGCCTCGACCCAGTTCTGCAGCATCAACTTGGTGCATCCAAAAGGCAGGTTTTGGATTTTATAAACCTTGTCACCTGGGTTGTTCTGTGGCTGGGCAACTCCTGGCATGAGGGTCGTCCAGGCATCATCGTATTTGTCAGCATGAAACCGCAAGCCATATCCCTTGCCCTGTCGTCCTCTGACCAGGCCAACACAAGACTGACATTTGGTTGACAGGGATGTGATCTTTGGGATGTCTCCTGGGATCCAAATCACCTTGTAACTGGCATTCAACCTTCCAGCTTGAGTCTTGGGCGTCAGGAAAAGACGGTTGAAACCTGATCTGGCCAAGATCTTCAACAGTCATATGGACCTGAACTGTGGACGCCTGGATGGGTGTTGCTGGTGCACGGTTGTGCCTGAGTGATTTTCCCCAGACTGCCTGAATGCCCTGCGAAAGGCCTTCTTTTTCCAGCAACTTTCGAACCATCGCAGCAGGGTTGGTGGTGATGGCTGTCCAGTCATCTGTTTGCCAATCTTCTTTGTACATGGTAACAGCCATCAAGCTGCATGTCTCGGAAGGCACTTGCTTTGGGTCACCTTGCTTGTGCTGAATGGCCTTTGCCCCCAGCTGCACCAGTGTTGCCGTGATGAGAACCATCTGTCGGTCACTGTTGAGGCTGGGGAAGGTGATTTCCTCGGAGGTCAATGCGCTATGTACAGTGATCGGTCCAAGTACCAAAAGGCCCAGCTCGTCCACACTGATTTTTTGTCCTTCTCGGACCCAGACCTCAGCCTGCGATGGCGTTTGGATGCAGATCCCACAGGAGTGGGGGACAATCTGATTGACCTGTGGCAGGACGGTACCATCTTCCCTTGTGAAGAAACCCTCTACCAAGGTGTAATCACTCGGATTGAGTTTGAATTCCAATGTTCTTTTCTTTCTTTTTTGGGCAATGTTGCCCGGAATGTCATTTCCTGATTTGGGCTTGGGGAGATCCGGAATGGTGATTCCTGCATCCTTGCATAATTGCATTGCTGCCTGGATCTTGGCACTTCCCATCGGTTGGGCATTGACTGCTTGCAGCTTGCCTAGTCCAAACTTCTCCATGACAGTGTCCACAGCTTTGGTGGTCCAAGCAAGGTTGAATCCATGATCAAGGAGCGTACTTGCCAATGCGTTCTGTTGGACAGCCCTTTGTTGGACCTTGGTTCCTTGGCCTCCACCTCGCAGTGCCATGATTGCATGAATCACAACATGTTCCTTAGTTGGATCTTGGGGAAGTTGTTGGATGGTGTGGTCCAGCAACTGTTGTTTTCCCTGGCACAGGATTCGCATCGTGGGTGTCTGTCCCCATGGCGCAAGGCAGTGTCGAAGAAGGCATTCCAGGGTGGCCAGAGTTGTGTTTCCATGGATCTTTCCTTTCCAAACTGGTCTTCCAGCCCACTTGAAATTGATGTTTCGTCCATCCACATCATCTTCTGTGGTCTCAAGGCAGTCCATCAGCGTCTTGGCAGCTGCAATGGCAATTGCTATGAGGAAAGAATTGGGCGGAGCAATTCCTGTCAGTCTGGAATGTTCGAAGACCAAGTCACTACCTGGCTGATTCACAATCTTCCTACCCAGCAAATGGAGCGATTGGGCAGTCAGTGCCTGCATGAAAAACTGTCGAAGAAAATTCACTGCAGTGTCTGGTCCTGTGAAGCTTGCCACAATCCGGTTGGAGAAACGGCATACGTGCCACCTCATTTGAGTCTGGTCAAATGCAGCAAAAACCAAAACAAGGTCTTGGACATTGACTCCATATGTGATTGGTTCAGTCAGCAAAATGGTGCCATAATCCGTTGTTTGTCCTTGTGATATCAAACCGAATTGGTCATACAGTTCACCTGACAGGGCCAGAATGTGCGGCTGCTGCAACAGTGCCACATGTGGCTCTACCTTCAGGAGTGTGAGTTCTTCATCCATCAGGACCTGAACACAGTTCCTTGGCAAAGTGACCATTGTTTCATCCACCTGAAAGGGGTGCATCGGCATGAGACATGCAGTGGTCAACTCTTGGAGGTCGGAAAATTGGCAACATGGTCCCAGTTCCCAGACCCTTTCCAAGTGAGTGCCAGGAAGATCAGCCGCAAACCAAAAGGTTTCTTCATATTGTGTCCACTTGATCACTCCTTTGAGAACTGGTTGGAATTGCATTGTGTCCGATACCGTCTGGGTATCTGAAATCACCGTGATGGGTGAATGGGATCCCTGCTGAAGGTCAAGCAACTCAGGTTGACTCTGTTCAGTCCTACTTCTAGGCTCTGCACTGTCATCTGCAACTTCAGCATCGGTTTTGGTCTTATGGGATGTGTCATGTTCAGGATGCCGAGATCTTTCAAATGCACTGCAGTGTCGTTTGGGATGTCCTTCCATCTCCATCGGTTGAACCTCTCGGCAGGTATCATCCATACTGAAACTGGCATCATCATGGCTATCAGTGCATCGGGAGGGGCCCCCACACCCTAAGCGTGGAAGGGGCTTTGCAAGGGGGGGGTCAGGGAAGGATGCTGCTTTCATCAGTTGGTGCAGTGCTTGGCAGTGGGTGGCCTCTTCATGTTGTGGCAATTCAGCTTTGATGGCATGTAGATTTGTGTGTTCTGCTTCGGCATTGGAATGTTCAAACTGCAGCAATGCTTGATGTGCTGTGTTTGTATCATTCTCCGTTTGGCAAGGTGTGTGTTTGATTCGATCATGTAGGTCAGCTGCTTCGTCTTTGTTCTTCGATGGCATGGTCTGATCTGGAGAGCGCAAATCCCATCCTTTGCATGTGTCAGTGGTCATCTGGGCGGGGCTCCCACACCCTAAACGTGGAAGGAGCATGGCATGGGGGGTGCTGGGCGGGTGGTGTTTGGTGAACATGTTGGTGTCTGATTGATGGGAATGTGAGACCCCTGAATTTGTCAATGGATTTGATTCATCAACCTCCCTATACACTGCTGGTCGCAGGGCAAGGTTTTGATCGGCATGTTGGGTCAGCTCATCCACTGGTGTATCACCTGGCATATGTGATGTCACATGCATCTCTGATGGCATGGATGTCGGCTGCAAGGAGTGAATTGGCCTGGGTTCTGCAGTGGTGCAGTCCTTGACATTTTCGAATGTAAGAATCCAAGAACATCATTGGCAGATGGCAAACTCTCGTCACCATACCCTGCTGCACTGTTTTCACGAATATTGCGGTTGGAACTGTACACAGCTGGTGTCACTGTCTCTTTGGCATCAGGTCCTACAACGGATGGCAGGTTTGCACGGTACTCTGCATTTTGCAGGGCATTGGTGGCCTTCTCTGCGGCCCATGGGGCAGGTGTACTGATGTGTGCAGGTTCGGAGTGATGCTGGCTTGAACTGTACACGGCTGTTGACAAAGCTACTGCACCGCAAGGTCCTACAAAAGTCGGCAGGTCATCTCCAGTCACTGCAGGCTGCAGGGCATGCTTGGCATTCTCCGTTTCATTTGGAAGGCCTGTGCTTGAGTGTTCCTCGGATGGCAGGTTTGAATGGTACTCTGCTTTTCGCAGGGCATTGGGGACATTCTCTGTGACACCTAGGACATGTGTACTTGAATGTGCAGGCTCGGAATGGTGCTGGAATGAACTGTACACGGATGTTGCCAAAGCTACTCCACCACAAGGTCCTACACAAGTCGGCAGGTCATCTCGGGGCACTGCAGGCTGCAGGGCATGCTTGGCATTCTCCATTTCATTTGGAGGGCCTGTGTTTGAGTGTTCCTCGGATGGCAGGTTGGCACGGTACTCTGCGTTTCGCAGGGCATTGGTGACATTCTCTGTGGCACCTAGGACATGTGTACTTGGATGTGCAGGCTCAGAATGATGCTGAAATGAACTGTACACGGATGTTGACAAAGCTACTGCACCGCAAGGTCCTACAGAAGTCAAGAGGTCATCTCGGGTCACTGCAGGCTGAAGGGCATGCTTGGCTGTCTCCATTTCATTTGGAGGGACTGTGCATGGGTGTTCCGACGTTCTGTACACCGTGGCTGTTTGGAGCTTCAACCCTCGGTCATTCCTTGGTTGTGCAGGTTTCAGAACAAAGTCCTTAGTGATGGTCAGGGATTTTGCATGTTTAAAGTCCTCAATTGAACCAAAACACCATGTGTTGGAGACCATAACTGACATGTTTCCTGATGCAGTGATTGTTCCAAAGCTTTGGCATGTTGGAGGAACTCTCTGGTTAATAACGTGTCCTTACGCACCAAAAAGCTTCCCTTGTTCAGTTTTCTCAAGCAACTGTTGTTGGCAGTGAGTCGGAGTTCATGAAACCCTTGAAAAACCTCATCCATTTCTTTGCCAAGGATACCCAAAGCTCTGACAACATTACCCAGTACCAATAACGCATGTGGGATTGCAATCATATTGCCCAGGTGATGCCATGCCTGTTTGTGGTCACTGTCAATGTACACTTTGTTGCAGGATCCATGGAGCAATGCAACTTCAGCTGGATGCAAAAACCGGCAGTGGTACGGGGCCTTGTCTTCATGCACAAAATGTCCCAAGTATCCATGTTTTCGGAGGTATTCACGATTCATCAGATGCTGTTGACCATACAATGCCATGAAAGTAGGAAAAACATCAGTGGGTTTGTAAATCCTCTTTGCAAAAATCACTTCAGGAGTAGGCAACTGAGTCAATGTGATTTTCAAAAACCCCGCACTGCTTGCCAGCTCCACGATGTCTGCGTTGAGATGCAATGTCTTCAGATCCTGTTGGGGAATCATTGTGGATACATCAGGCCAAGTGCATTCATGGGCTGGCCACATACTGAAGGATACCTGAGGGACATGTTCTGCCATTCGAATTGCCAATCCCAGCCATCTGTGTCGGTTGGTCTGTGCATGAATAGCAAGGTTACAGACCTTCTGCCATGTGAGTCTATACCCTACCATGTGTAAGGCTTTCATGATCCAATGCTTGTGCTCATGACTGTGAAAGTTGCTAACCTGTTCCAGAGCTATGTACATCGGTCGAAGCCACCTGCACATGAGAACGGTCTGAAAAAGAAGCTTTGCTCCTGGTTTGAGGAGTCCCTGGGCAGGCCCCGCTGCTGACCAGTCTGGACAAGGCGCTGAAATGGTAACCAGGTGTGGTTGCCAATGCGTCAATGGTCCAAGGATCTTTCCGTTCAAAACATCCTGTTGCCAAATCCAAGTTTCTTGATTTGCAGAGAACCAGTCACAAGGCAGGTCTACATTTGGTCCAATCCAATTGGCAAAATGGCTCATCGCATAGGCCTTGGAGGCTCTTTCATCGATTTCAACTCCAACAGTTTGGGAGCAAACTCCTTGTCTTGAGAGTACTTCCAACGCACCCTTCCATCCACCATATGCCCCCGCAAAAAACTCCAAGCATCTAAATGGTCTACCATCCATGCAAGGTGTTGGGGCAATCATCCATGTTGTTTTACCATCAGCCAGATATGCAAAATCCCATCGCCCCTGAACCATGTTGATTTCCGTGGCGTTCATGACCCATATCAGCTGACCCAGTGGAGGGATGGTGAGGTTGACATCCCAAATGAGCTGGTCACATTCTTGGATTCTCTCTTCCATTGGAATTTCTAACAGATCCGCTAAAAAGTAGTCAACCCCGAAGCCTTCAGGTTGAAAACGTTGCACCTGTAAAACCAGATCATCTTGGGAAAAACGTCTTTCCTGGATCTCAAGCAACAAGTTGCACCTCTCAGTAGCTACCTTGCAACCTTTGGATCCCAGTATGTCAATCTTTTGGATGTCTTCAATGAGGTTGTCACACAAGAAACGATATGCCATGGCTGCTTCCGCCCATCGACCTGGGTAATGGGACAAGGTCGCCTCTCGAAGGCAGAGCCAAAACCTTCGTTATAATTTACCCAGCATGATGAATTATCATCCCAAATGATTGGAGTATAACCCCAGAAAATTTTCATCCAGCCAGGATAGTTACAATCCATTTCCCATGATTCATCCAGATGTCTGGACCAACCCATCCCGGATCGACTTCGAATCTGACCAGGCTGCTGAACTTGTTGGCAAAGGCAATTTGACCACTGGACAAAACCACCAGCTTCACTAAGGCCTGCAGGAGGTGAAAAAACAGCGCTGGGTCAGTCTGGAAATGGTCAGTGTCTAAAAATGATTGAAAATAGGTCGTATACCAGTATACCCCCAATTATGGGGGAAAATGGTGTTATGAACAAATATAACTATAACCAATCAAACTTCTGTTTTTACTTGATGATATTATGGCGATTTATAGGGTGATAGCAATATGATATTTGGGTCTGCCTGAGAATAATTAGTCTACCCCCCATTTGCGGCAATGTAGTAAGAAAATGATGACTAACCAGTGGGTTTGCTATTTGAATCCTCCATTCATAGCCATTTACACCAGGGATACAGTACAAGGTGGTGTCACAAATCTGGAGCCACGACCAGTATGACCACGGGGAAAATGTGCATTATATATTGGGGTACAAAACTTGCAATATTCCTAACAGATATAAAGTTATATAAAATACTAAATTACAAACTGTATGAGGTGATGCCCCGGTTTGTCAGATAAGTTGGTTTACAACTGACACAACCAGAGTTTAGGTAGATACATCGAACTAGTTAGACGGACGCACCTGAATTAACGAACATAATTTGGGGGTCACCACCTTGTCTATACAGCAGTGTTTAATCCCCACTTTTCAAGGTTCATACCCTCTGGTAAACTAACAGTTCGCTATTGAAACTCACCATGTTTAATGGGTAAATCAACAAACAATTCAAACAATTGCCATGTTCAATAGCTATGTTGGCTATGTTACATAAAAACCACAGGGTAACCGGGTAACATTACCGGTATTTCGTCAAGGGCTCAAGTCGCTGGGACGATCATCCCGCACCTTGCTGAGCTCCAATGCGCTCAGATCATCCCGCACGGGGTGTCCCTGCAGTAGGGGTGCACGTCATGGTGCACTCTACAAATCAGTAAAATGAATAAAATCACATCAACCTCATAGTAGGTAGAATGGGTAGAATAGCTGAATATACTCTTGAATTACTTTCTTCAAGTGATCCCCAAGTGACATTCTATCCGACGTATATCCTGGCATTCTATATCTATATCTATGTATCTATATATATATATATGGCATCCTTTCTGGCATATGTTCTGACATTTCATCTGGCATTCTATCGGGCATTCTGTTTGGCATTTTATCTGTGTTTGGGTCCAGGCCCAGCTCCAGGACTTGCAATGGTGGTGACTAGAGACCCTCACCTGGCAGGTGGGGAAAAAGACATATTGAGAAACATCACAGAGAACATCATCCAAGGTTGGGGTCACACTGAGCTCTTGGACATCCGAAAAAAAGCCTGGTTCTTATCCCAAGCGTTACCGTTACTCTTCTAGCCATTTAAGCCATAGAAAAAGCAAATCATGGTTTACCCAAGTACCTGTACCTACATCCTTTCTGGCTGACGTCTTTTCCAGCCCCTTTTCTGTTGACCTATTCCATGTGTATGATGTAATTTCCTTTTTTTTGCTGGTTAAAAAAAAACTATCCTTCAACATTTGAAACGACCAAAGAAAGGTTACCTAGTAGATCATGCCTCAACTTAGATACCTTGCAAAGCAAAATTATGTTTTAGTATGTTTTAGCTGGGACTGATAGTACCACCCAAGCGGCAAAATTCAATGGGTGGTTTAATTTTCATGACAATACTTGGCACTTGGCTGGTATCACCAAATTCACCCAAAATACGGTGCATCCACGCATCTACCATGATGAATCACCATCATTTTGGGGGGAAATGAGCATCCATGAATCCCATCGATTTTGATGTGAACGACCAGGGCTTTGGATGGAAAAAATGGCCCGTGTCCTGGAATTCAGTAAATCATCAAATTGAACATCATGAAGATCATTTATATCATGTACATACCTGTAATGTTTATAATCCATAAATGTGAATGGTGTAAATCATGACGGCTTCACCCCTCATGCTGGCTGACATGTTCTCATGTTCTGAGGACGTAAAAGCGTGCGTTCGGAGTCGACCATTTGTATTGGAATGATAGGCAAAAAAAAGGCTACAGGAATGATGCCGATCTGGCCTTTCATATCATTCGCAGGCAGGCGAACCGAGGCTGGTGAATCAATTCATGAAATTCATGTTAACTCCTGAATATTCACTGTCGTTTACGCACGTTTTTTCCCATTGCTTGCATAATGCATGTCCATCTGAAAAATATTCTGATGGTCAAGCCCTATTTTATCCTAATTAAATCCCAGTCGTGTTGATTTGAGGAAAACATATTATCCATTCAAACCATAACCTTACATCTTGCTGCTTAAACCTCATACTTTACAAGGGCTGGCAGGTGACTGATTCACTAGTAGTAATTCACTATCCCAGCAACCATCATTTATGAAAATTATATCCCCATATCTTTGATGTGGAAAGCCCATTTGCAGATCATTCTCCTAGGAAAACCATGGGTTGTTCCACATCTATCTTATATCTAATTGGTGGTTGAGCCCTACCCCTCTGAAAAATATGAGAAGTTCGTCACTTGGGATGATGACATTCCCAACTGTTTCTGGAAGGCCGTAAAATTATATAAAATTCCATGGCTCCAGTCACCACCAACCAGAATAGTATATATATATATCTATCCCATTAAATCCTATGAATCATCACCATTTTTGTTCCAGTCACCACCAACCAGCCATGATTTTTTTTTCCATTACCAGAGGGTTAATCACCATTAAATCACCATTAATATCCCTATTAGTAGGATCCAACCACCAACCAGCATGGCTTGTTCCACATCGTATTCCACTGAGGGACGCCCAGAACCAGCTCGACGTCTTCACCCCCGAAGCCTCAGGCAGGCCGAAACAGGCTGGTGTTGTAGGACTCGTTAGGTGTGGCCATAGGAAAAAACCTAGGAAAACACTATAGGAAAATTGGGATTTCATGGGATTTATGTCTGATTTATGATAGCTATATAAGTTGGTGCCTTTTTAAAATCCAATTTCACTATGGTTTTTGTTGGTGATATATCGAACTAGTTAATGGGATTATAACCCGTTTATAATTGAGGGGCACCACTTGTAGGGATTTAGCAAATAGAATTTCTGTGAACATGTATGAAAACTGGGATGTCATGATTTCAGTTTTACTTTAGAAAATAAAATGTTGGATTTCATGGAATTTGTTACATGAAATGTGGGATTTGATGGGGATATACTGGGGATAAAATGGGATATACATGTTTAAAAAACATGTGATATATGGGTATGTCTAAAAATTGGGTATACCCCCAAATAGCCATGTGAATAGGGATAATGATTAGCAACCAGTGGATGGAGTGGAGGCCCCTATGTTCATATATGTTAATATCTGTGAATCTAGGAGTATATTTCTGAATTTCAGCAAAAGAATGTATATCAACGAAGAAATGAGATTTGACTGTGAAAAATGGTGTTTTGATCACGTTTGGGAATAGTTCACCTTAAATTTGATGTGACCTTGGTGAACCCCAATTAAATAACCGCTACCGAAAGATGTTGAAAGCAAGCAAACCTTGGAAATTCATCGGATCGGAGAGACGTAAAGTTGGCAAAGTCCAATCTTAAAGCCGTGGTAAAATCCATATTTTTCCAGTAAAATGTCCATCAAAATAGTGGTAAAATCAGATGTTTAAAGTCCATCAAATATCAAATCCATGGATTTTTGCTGATTTTTGGACTTTGCCAACCATAGTTATTATAGTTGCTGGGTAAAATCATTATGGTAAAATCATTATAGTTATTATCTTCTGATTTTTTGCTGGGTATGTGTAAATGTAAACCATAATGATGGTTCAGCTTGGCCTGAAACAATGTTCGTATAGTATTTTGGGTCGGGAAACGGGTTGTTAACCAACCAAAACAGGATTTCGCTGGCTATTCGTTGCTTACTATTGTTTATTGCTTATATTTCGGATAACCAAACCCTGTTTTGTTGGTAACCAAATCCTGCAAGAGGTTTTAAGCAACAAAAACAGATTTGGTTTGCAAGAAACATGGGGTTGTAACCAACAAAAAGAGGATTACGTTAAGAAACATTGAAGTTAAACAACCAAAATAGGAATTGACAGTAGCCGACATCAACTCAGCAGTAAATCCTTGAAAAAAATGCATTTGATCGGCAATAGTAAAAAAAAAGCGACCGACCAACAGAGGCTTTGAATCACTGCCTAGTAAAGGAAGTGACAAACTCATTCATATCAGGGAAATTTATTTTGCAAGCTACTTCTAAACTCACTTATGATCGATTTTTCAAGGTAGCCCTAAATGATCTCAACATCCAAATCCAGGTCTCCGTGCCCAGCTTCTCAGCTGCATCCTGTTTCACGGCACTGGCCTCTCGGACGGTTCGCCGTCCCAGGGATGGAAAATACCCATTGTGACACCCCAAAAAATCGATGTATCGTAACCCCCAAAAAGATAGAAAAGTGACTAACCACTTGTTTAATGGGCAAAAAAATAGAACAATGATTTAACCACTATATATATTTGAATGGGAGTTTACTGTTCTATCTTTTTTTGGGGCGCTATAGATGATTATAGATGCTATATAATGAGATCTAATGAGTCAAACATTAGTTGGGATTCAGACTCCATTCCGACCCTATTTGGCAGGATTTGGGGGCACATGTGAGTTTTTGAGAAGTTCTTACCCAACAGTACCAAACAAACTGTGACGTAAATCTGCCTGTAATGAACAAGACTGCAGATTCTACCAACAAAATGCTGGAGGAGCATCCCATGGAATAGGGCTAGGGGGCCGCCGCAAGGGTGCTGAATCCAAAAGTCTTCAATTTCCAGACAAAGTACCAAAATTAACCTGAAATGTTCACCTATTTCGGGATAGTTACCTTTTCTTACCATCACTCCAGAGGTCATTGGAATCTATCCAATCTTATCCCCACCATATCCCATGATATCCACATTATATCCACATCACACATCATGAAATACCACCGTTTCTGTTGGTTCCAGTCTTAGATGGGTTTTGTCTCCCCATATTCTATGTTCACCTGTAAGATAACGTGTAATTATTTGGTGGCCAACATCTCTCAACCATCCAGTCTTCAGAGGAGATATTGATCAACCGCTCAAAGTGACAAGGATAACCTCGAAGGGGCGAAAGGGTGAAAGTCCGGCCAGGGGCCCAAGCCACCATGGCCGACCCCTGGCGCAGACCTTACAAACACCCCGCAGTTTACGGCGTTTTGTGGCTTTCCCATTTTTTTAATTGTGGATCAAGATGGGTCAACATGGCACAACATACGCCGACATACGCCCCAAAACGCACGCAAGCTGGCCCAACATAGCCCCCAGATGGCCCAGCATGGCCCGCAAGCTGGGCCCACAAGCCCCAAGATGGGCCAACATAGCCCCAAGATGGGCCAACATAGCTCGAAGACGGGCAAACATAGCCCCTAAGATGGCCCCAAGCTGGTCCAAGAGGGGCCAACATAGCCGCAAGCTGGGCCAACCTCGCCCCAAGATGCGCCTACTACAGACTTTGTGATCCTTTACCGTCAAGTGGGCCCTGGCCGGCTGTCGGGCGTAAGCCCTTAAATTATTTGGTCTCTCTGTAGATTCCAATTTCTGGTGGATGGTCTATATAATCGGAAAATACCAAGAAAAATCGCTCACTCAACAGGCCCCAGGAATTTTGCAACATGGCGAATTGTTAAACAGTTCAACTATGTTAAACTTAAAGTACTAAAATTCTGTGGTTTGGGTCCACTTGGTCTCACCCATTCCCACCACCTTGGAGTCCCACGGCATGTGCAAAACCACAGACTTTCCTCTCGTTCGAGTGGCGAAATCGAACTGTGGATTTCACCCAGAATTTCGCCAACTAACCGGCAGAAAACGGGGGTTTAACGGTTTTAACCGACAAAAAAAAACGAATTTAACCAACACAGGGGGATTTGATCAGAAAATGTGAGGATTGATCTACCAAACCTAAGATACCGAAAAAGACGCATCTGGATCTTAAAGAAACGTCCAGGGGCTTCGCAACCAAGATCAATAAACATGTTACTTGAAAATACTTTAAATTTATCAAGAAACAAACAATATCCCTTCTACCCCCACCCCAAACGCCTCCCCAGCCCTGGTTTCGCATTGAATCTGTGCAATCAATGGTCCCAGGTCAAGGATGAGCGTGGGTCAAGTGATTGGGGTGCCTAAAAATGCATGTGGGTCAGGTGACGGCCTCCGGTGTCCTCAAACATTAGCTGGAAAATCCCAAACAATAGCTAGGACAGGCATCTACAAATCTGGGATTTTCTAGCAACCCATGACTGCCGAAGTACAAGAAGAAGACCAGTGAGTGGGGTCCCCTGGGTCTTGGATTTGGGCTACCCAAATTGAAATTGGTGTCTATCAGACAAAACACATCTGGCCAAACGAAATTTCGCCAACCTGAAGTGTTTGGTTTATCTCCACTTCTCCCAGTTAAATCCGCCATGTCCCCCCACTTTTTGGTTGAAGATAGATACTCTCTGGTAAACTATACAATAACTATGGACAATCACCATGCTATTAACGGCTAAATCAACTATTTCTATGTCAATGTTCAATAGCAAAACTGTAAACGTTTACCGGAGGGTCACCCACGTGCCTGAGACCAGCGACACTGAGATGTCCACCAAACCTGGCAGAACTTGGAGTAAACCCTGGCTGGGAATGGCTGCGTCGTTTTTGTGGTAAACCCAATAAAAAATAACCAATGATAAACCATCCCCCCAAAAAATGTGTGTGTATATATATATATAAGTATATACAATTATATATATATTTATATATAGAGAGAGAGAGGTCTAGATTTTTTTCAAAAAAAGACGAGGATAAAGACATATAAAGACCACAACTATAAGGACTCACTCCTAACATGAACTACAATGATATTGACCCTACGCACCTCAAGATACCTCAAGAATCCCAACGAGTGAAAGCATCAACTGCAACCCCAAGCATGATGAAACATGGGGAAATCTGTAGTAGATCCCATCCTCTGCCAGTTGGCCATATTTCACTGTTTTCTCCCATCAAACATGGGTGCAACCTTGTCCTTTGAGGAAAAATGTTGGGGAAGCCTCGATCGATCAGCCAACCAATGGGAAAGGACATCTATGATTCATTTATACTCTATTAAATACTATTATTAATACAATGTTGCATTAAAGTTCAGAAGTTCATTTTTTTTAATGTTCCACTATATAATTCATATATATCCCGCCGGGTGCGGAATCGCGCGTGTAGGCGCATCACCAGTGTCAAAAAATGACAACCCTTTCAGTGTTTCGTAGCCGTCTCAAAGTAAAAATCTTTAAAAATAAAAGGTCATTTTCTTGCGTTTGGCAACCCTTCCACACGAAATCCGGACCTTTTTTTGCCTTGCCAGTTTCACTGATCATTGTGCATGTAGACCTGTGCTGTTTTTCCCACCCCACCCCACCCCACCCCACTCCACCCCACCCCATGCTCAGCGTCGCATCAATGAATGGTGTGTTCAACTTCAAACGAACGTTCACATCCCCACCCCACCCCATGCTCAGCGTAGCATCAGTGGCGTGTTCAACTTCAACCGAACCCCACCCCACCCCACCCCACCCCATGCTCAGCGTCGCATCAATGAATGGTGTGTTCAACTTCAAACGAACGTTCACATCCCCACCCCACCCCATGCTCAGCGTAGCATCAGTGGCGTGTTCAACTTCAACCGAACGTTAACATCCCCACCCCACCCCACCCCAGCCCATCCCGCGTTGCCAGTTACGTGAACATAAGAGTGCAACATGGTGTGTAAGCTCAAAAACATGATGTGAAATTGGGAATGTTGAAAATGTGTGTCACTACACGTACGGTTTTGCACCCGTTAGCATATATATATATATATATAGGCATAGGAAGTTTGTAAATTAACTAGCTAAATTCTATGTTTTTTTTCGTAGATATCACATGATATCACCAGTATTGGGTGAACCTTCACAGAACTTCCAACAGGCCGGCCCACCTTGTTGGTTTCTATGGAAAATCACCATGTTTGATGGCTAAATCAACTATTTCTGTGGCAATTCTCAATAGCTACAGTCAAACGACAAAGCCATGCCTAACTCATGCCTGGGTCAAAACTTGCTAGTAAATCACCATGGAATCGCTGTTTCAAGAAACTCATGGCTAAGTCATGCCCAAATCTTAAAACACCATGGAATCGCGTATGTATAAGAAGAATGTTTCCACACTTGGGAAAATCAAATGTTCGCAAAAATCCGTCTACAGTTGCGTTCTACCGTTCATGCTTCTGGGGTTGAGAAATACTTGCCGCTTCGGTCCGCTGACTTTTTTCGCTTTGCTGACTCTTTTCGCTTTGCTGCTCTCGGTCCATCAGTGGCTTCGCTCTGCCATCCGTGATTCACAACAACCAACCTCTCCTATAGGTTTCCTATTTTTGAAAATGGCTGCCGCAGCACACTGGAAAGAAAAAGATAGAAACACCAACTCATCGCTACACTCACATCCAGTTTGACTTGGTATGAAAAAGGTTACTCTTGATGCTAAACACAACCTAAACGCAAGATCAAGGGTAAACACAACCTAAACGCAAGATTTGTTAACAAAAACTATTCCAAAGACCAAATCCAACAAAACATTGCAATTCCTATGCGTTTTACTAAAAAGGCACGACTTTTCAAATAAAGTGCTCCCCAGCTATTTACGATGATTTCCAAATTTTAGGCACGACTTTAGCATTCTACTGTATGTTAAAAAAAACCAATGGGTAGTAGCCATTGATATCGATTAATAATTAGCCATTGATATCCATGAATCATCATATATATATATACATATAATTATATTATATATATATTTTCATATTGAGCATCAAAAAAATGAGGCAATTATGCAACGATACAAATGATCCCCTTCCACTACCGTCACTACGGCCTGGCCTTCGCCTGTCGCCGAGACTGTCGCCGAGGCCGCCTCCGAAGCCTCCGTGGCCGTCGCCGTTGCCACGGTCGCCATCCACGCGATACCTCCATGTCGAAGCATGTCAAAGTTTCAGGGGAAATTGAAGATGTGGCAAATTCATGTAAATTCATGTAAATTCATGTAAATTCATGTAAATTCATGTAAATTCATGTAAATTCATGTAAATTCATGTAAATTCATGTAAATTCCAGAAATTTCGGGCAAAAGTATCTGGATAATTGCAGAGCAAAAATTGAAAAGTGAACAATAGCTGAAAAATTATGAAAATGGATGACCTTTTTTTGAAGCCTACTTGTACTGATTTCAACCCCGTGATTTCCTACCATGGGTGTCAATGCCTATGACTAGGTTGTTGCCTCATTGCAAGAGATTTGAACTGTGCACAACCCTGGAGGATCCAGATGTATAGTGTGGCCCCAAATCAAGCACCCCTTAATTCCCAAACGTGGCATACAGGAAAATCTCACGCCATTGGCAAGTGGGGTGCCAGGGCGTCGCCACCTAAACTTGGCTCCGATCACCGGGGTCAAATGTTCACCATTTTGATGACTCCATGACTTTTGAACATTTTTTATGCAATGGAGTCAAAACCCATCAAAATACCGTGGAAAAAAAACAGTCGTCATATTGTCATATCCAAGTCTATAATCTATCACTCATGTTCAACATTTACATCCAAAGTTCAATGCCTGCAGTTTCACCCCGATGTTCCTTACCCTACAACTCTCGAAATGCCTGCAGGACAGTTTCGTCCGCCGACTTCAGCAGCACAAATTGCGTTGCTCCGATTTCGTGAGAGGTGAGCGGAATGCGCTTTAGTTTCTGCTGGTCAAATTCTGTCAACAAAAATCTGGCGGAATTCGCAAACTTCACCAATTTTTGGGCCGGAGGATTTTACCCCTGAAAAAGCTACATGAGATTACACTGAGAGTTATCATCCCAGCCAACTTTCTGCGATAAAAAAACATCGAAAGCAAGCAGTAAACTCCTGATTTGGAGCCTGAAACGTCGGAAACGGCGCCAACTACATTCAAGGATTGTCCCACTGGTGGGTTTAGTTTAGCCATTTCGAATGGGGATAAACCCCATCAAAACTTGAGATTTTTTTTGGCTTTACCTTTCGAAGTTTATGGTGTGCCAATCCATGGCCATGGGAAGTGAACCGTCTAACATAGACATGGAAAGTCTACCAAGTGTATAACTGCTTGGTGGTTGAGCCCTACCCCCCTGAAAAATGATGGAGTTCGTCAATTTTGTCAGGATGACATCCCATATATGAAATGGAAGTCATAAAATTCCATGGTTCCAGTCACCACCAAGCAGAGAATCATTTCCTCGGGGAACCATGGCTTTGCCAGGCTTCGTGCCTCACATGAATCAAATGGTGGATGTTCATGGATTTTCGTCAGAGAGTCAGATTTGTTGGTCAACTGTTCGGCAAAAGTTGTGGTTTTAACTAGGTGTAAACCCCATCCATGCAAATCTACGACATGTAAATAGGGAGCAGTTTACCAGATTGTTTACATACAGTGACAGTTGACATAATTATAGACCAACTTTCATGAATCCCAAACTTGAAGCTAATCATTCTGGCTATCCCACATATTAAATATGGAAAAAAAAACTCGCGGGGCTGTGGCCACTTCTCCTGTCGCACAGCCTCCAACACCACTTCAGGGTCTTTCACCTGTCCGAAGCGATGAACCAAAGAAGCTTGGGAGGTGCCGACGGGAGCGGTTGGATGTTGACGAGTCGGTCTACGAAATGTGCTACAAATCGACATCCAAAATGGATCAAAATGAATCAAAATATTATGGGAGTTTTTGTTGGGTTGTCAAAGGTAAAGAAAAACAGAAACAATTTGGCGGAGTGGTTTTGCCCAAGATTGGCCATCTATGGGGCGTGAGGTCGTTGTCACACCCACAAGTTGTCGCCGCAAGTTCTCACACTTGGGGTTGCAGTTGAGGTGATTTTCATCGCTGTAGCCATGGTGAAACAACATCAAGTTGGAGCTGCAAAAGCCACATGGAATCCGTGGAATCAGCTCAATGATGCGCAATGTACTAATAAACAGGACAGGCATTCGTATCAACACATCCAAAACGGCAACTATTACCATATGTATATATATATAATTATATATAATTATATGTATATTATACATTATCGTAAAATGACTGCGTCAGTGTTCGAAGATCCACAAACCACAGAGCTTCATGGATTTTCATGGATTTTCAGCATCACATACTATCATCATGTGCCTTTTTTTAATTGTTTAGCAACTTTGTTTATCAATCACATTCACCCAGTGATTTCCCGATTTTCTCTTGTTTTTTTTGGGTCAACTCATTCCATAAATCGATTCCTCAACGCTTCGGAGGAACAACGGATTTTTTTTTCGGCCCGACGAGGACGCTCTCGAGGAGCGCGCCCAGGCAACGCCTGGCGCGCCCAGGTGGGGAGATGGAGATGTGAAGTGATGGAAGTCATTGAAATGTATCTGGTTGGTGGTTTCAACCTACCCCTCTGAAAAATATGAGTTTGTCAGTTGGGATGATGAAATTCCCAATATATGGAAAGGCATAAAAAATGTTCCAAACCACCAACCAGGTATTGAAAATGTCTTGAAATATCTAAAGAGAAGAGACCACGAAAGTCCACAAATTATAACTATGATTATATATCATAAAATTTCATTTAAAAAAAATCATGTCCAGTCACAATGCTCCCATTGATCACGTGACCGTGCAACCTGAAGGCATACCTGCAACCCAAACGCACAAACGCTCTCTCAACATGGAGAGGTGAAGATAGGTGAAGGAACTGAAAACACTGCCGGCCTCAGACCAAATCTGGGAACCTGCAAAAACATCTAAACGCAAAGAAAACTCAAAAAAAACATTTCTGGGAATTACAGTAGAAACGCTCAACAAAACATACCAGTAGTACCCGCACGATGCGGGGCGGAAGTTGCCTTAGGGATATCCGCCGACCCCGGCCGTCGCCAAGGCAGCAGCGGCGCCTGGGCCACCGCAGGTGTGGAACCTGTTCCGTTTCCGAACCTTCAAACACCTCAAACCGTCCGCGGCAGCGTCGACCAGGCACTTTGGCCATCGCTATGTGGGTTTGCCACAGCCATCTGCTACTATCGCTATGTGGGTTTGCCACAGCCATCTGCTACTATCGCTATGTGGGTTTGCCACAACGTACCATCTGCTACTATCGGCGTTCGAAGCTGCCGTTTGCCCGCCTTCAAAGGCCTAAAACCCTCCGCGGCAGCTTCGACCAGGCACGCAGGCCACAGCCATCTGCTACTATCGGCGTTCGAAGCTGCCGTTTGCCCGCCTTCAAAGGCCTAAAACCCTCCGCGGCAGCTTCGACCAGGCACGCAGGCCACAGCCATCTGCTACTATCGGCGTTCGAAGCTGCCGTTTGCCCGCCTTCAAAGGCCTAAAACCCTCCGTGGCAGCTTCGACCAGGCACGCAGGCCACAGCCATCTGCTACTATCGGCGTTCGAAGCTGCCGTTTGCCCGCCTTCAAAGGCCTAAAACCCTCCGCGGCAGGCACGCAGGCCACAGCCATCTGCTACTATCGGCGTTCGAAGCTGCCGTTTGCCCGCCTTCAAAAGCCTAAAACCCTCTGCAGCAGCTTCGACCAGGCACGCAGGCCACAACGTACCATCTGCTACTATCGGCGTTCGAAGCTGCCGTTTGCTTGCCTCCAAAGGCTTAAAACCCTCCGCGGCAGCTTCGACCAGGCACGCAGGCCACAGCCATCTGCTACTATCGGCGTTCGAAGCTGCCGTTTGTCCGCCTTCAAAGGCCTAAAACCCTCCGCGGCAGCTTCGACCGGCAGCTTCGACCAGGCACTCAGGCCACAGCCCTTTGCTATCAGCGTTCGAGGCTGCCGCTTGCCTGCCTTCAAAAGCTTCCACAACGCTCCGCGGTAGCTTCGACCAGGCACGCAGGCCACAGCCATCTGCTACTATCGGCGTTCGAAGCTGCCGTTTGCCCGCCTTCAAAGGCCCACGCAGGCCACAGCCATCTGCTACTATCGGCGTTCGAAGCTGCCGTTTGCCCGCCAACATCCTAAAACCCTCCGCGGCAGCTTCGACCAGGCACTCAGGCCACAGCCATCTGCTACTATCAGCGTTCGAGGCTGTCGCTTGCCTGCCCTCAAAAGCTTCCAACGCTCCGCGGTAGCTTCGACCAGGCACGCAGGCCACAGCCATCTCGGCGTTCGAAGCTGCCGTTTGCCCGCCTTCAGAGGCCTAAAACCCTCCGTGGCAGCTTCGACCAGGCACTCAGGCCACAGTCATCTGCTTCTATCGGCGTTCGAGGCTGCCGTTTGCCCAACTTCAAAAGCCTAAAGCCCAAAACCCTCCGCGGCAGCTGTGACCAGGCTCTCAGGCCACAGCCATCTGCGACAATCAGCGTTCGAGGCTGCCGTTTGCTGCAAGAACCAGGCTCCGGCCACAGCTATCTACTTTTAAGGGGAGCCTACAGTATGCGCTCGTAAGTGCAGCGTCTTTCTATTTCTTTTCTTTTTTTCCTTCCCTTTTTCTTGGGAACGTGCCAATGTTTCTTCTGGCATCGTTTTCCCGACGGCGTCTTATGTGCGACCGCAATGCGCCCAAAGGACTGCGATGACCAAACAACAGTTGAGCAGAGCGGGCAACTGTGCGCATGACGCTGTGTTTTCTTGCTGACTGCCCGTCCTTCACGTGAAACTGGTTGCCGCACGCGGATCGATGGTCGATGCGCCCGGTCTTGACATCGCTTCTCACACTTCCGTTGCAAAATGGACACCTGTAAACCGAACCTTTCTCTTTAACAACGCCATCCTTCACAGAAAATCGGTTCCCACAGCCACAGACCCTTCGATGGTTTACTTGCCCTGTCGCCACGTTAGTGGCCACATGCCCATTACACGCGGGACAAACGTAATAGTACGCTTTCGCAAAGACGCGTCCTTCCTTGACTCCGAAAAATTGTCCGCATGTGTGGCGGTGATCTACTTGGCCTGTGTATAGTACTGGTCATAGACTGCGCAATGAGGACACACGTATTGGAAACTCTTGCCTTCCCTCGTGGCTCTTACTCCCTTTGTCGGCAGCGTCGCCTTCTCCGTCCGGTTGCTGTCTTCCTGTGTGCCACGTACATCTGCAAGCCCTTCTGTGGTCATTTCTGTTCCGTTCTCTTGTCTGCGTTGTTTTGCCTTCGGCCCTTCTTCCTTCGTTTGGGGGTTCTCCTGTTCTCTGTTCCGTTTTCGTTCTGCGATGGCAGCCCAGACATCAGCAATGGCATGCGCCTTTTTTTCTTCCGCTGCCGTCACCGCTACTTTGGCCTGCGTTGCAGCTACCCGTTGCACCACTTTTCTGATACTTCCCCGGGAAAGGGGCGTTTCCAGCAGTTGCCGCAGACTTGGTCACCATTACAAGAACGAGGTTGCGCCAGCCCTGATTCAAAAGCGCACGCTGCTTGCTTCACCTTGCATACACTGCATCTCCACCAGCCCCACGCCTTCCCGAGCAATCCAAGCACACTCTACCGCCATTGCGTGGCCGTTTCCACGCCGCGGCAGAAAATTTCTTTTCGTCCTTGCGCGTATTGCAGACACTACACAATTGTGTTTGTTCGCAGGTCATACACACACGGTAATTTTTGTTATTTGGCTTGTGAAACAAACCTAGTGGTTCTATACGGAAAAAATAAGAAGAAGAACGATTATAAAGAAAATTAAAAGTAATAAATACTTTTGAGAATAAAGAATCAGATTGTGTCTGTATGATG